ATAGAAACATCAATGATGAGAGAGTCATTGATCGGCTGCCTAGCCCGCAACCCGGGCACATGCCCTGACCGGGAATCGAACCCCGATCGCCTGGATCCTAGGTCGAAACTCAACCCTTGAGCCACACCTGGCCAGGCTTTTTTAAGATTTTTAATAATTGATTTCTAGAGAGAGAGAGGAAGGGAGAGGGAAGAGAGAGAAACACTGATGTGAGAGAACATCGATCTGCTGCCTCCTGCATGCCCCCCACCAGGGATCAAGCTCACAACCTGAGCCTGGGCCTGGGCCCTGAGGGGGAATCGAACCGGAAACCTTTTGGTGCATGAGATGATGCACAACCAACTGAGCCACACTGGCCAGGGCTGTTGGTTGATTCTTGTATGTGCTCTGACCAAGGATCAAACCCACAACCTTGGTGCATCAGGACAACACTAACCAACTGAGCTACCTGTCCAGGGTGTATTATTATTTGTTAATTATTGTATTACTTTTCATATGAACAACTGTAAACCTACTTTTGCGAACCCCTGTATAAAAAACAACATACAACTTCTAGACAATGAAAGAAAGAGTCTGGGGGAGGAGAGGGGAAGTCTAAAAAATAATAATCCACTGAAGAGAGAAGCAAAAAGTTAACAAGGAGAGCCAGATTCCTTTCTTCTTTTCGTTCATTCACAATGTAAGCCAAAAGCCTTTAGTCGAAACATCTGGGTAGGCCTCAGATCGCTGTGCAGCAGTGACCTGGCAAGCGGTGTCAAAGAAGCAAGGTGAGGCTGGGGTCTGCGTGGTGCGATGGGGTGGGCTTTGGGTGGCAGCAACAGATGAGTTACATGCATGATCAAGTAAGGAAACCTTGAGCATAAGGGGACACTGACACTGTAACAGGATGAGTGCACCTACCTGCCAGAGCTTTGTTGCTAAATACTGTTCTCCTAAAGCGAACCAGGGCTCTAGAGAAATGGCTGATGGCAGGACTTCGGCAGGGGTGGCACAGGGTGAGCCTGGAAGATCTTGCTGTGCCCAAAAGTAAGGAAGTCCTGAAAGAATGATGGAGACATGCCAAACGGGTACAGAGAACATGCTGAAGACAATTTGTGCATCAAAAATAGCATTATAATCCATTGAATAAAGTAGGCATTCATGGGTCCACCCAGATTAAAATAAAAGAATAAGTAAGTGGGGGAAAGAGAAAACTCTTTCTAGGAGAGTACCAGCTGATGAATGTGGTCGGAACAATGGCATTAGAAAGTCATCACGTAGCAACGGGTGTGTGAAAGTTTGATCAGGAACAGGCCGTTTGCATGGTCTCAGCATCCTCCCTACAAAATGCTGACTACAAAAGGGAAAGGTCACTGCAATGCAGGAGCTGGGCTGAACCCGCTTTATTTTAGTGATTACAATTAGCATCACCATGGTAGGGACAGATCAAAATTGTGTAGCACCTAACACAATCCAGTATGAAAACAGGGCACATCACACAAATCCAAATTGAGGTATATTCTTTGAAATAACTGGCCAGTAATCTTCAAACGTGTCAAGTCCTCGAAAGTCTAGGAGATACGTAGAACTGTTTCAGGTTGAAGGGCACTATGGAGACGTGACAACTAAGTGCAACATGTGATCCCAGGTAAGCCGCACCTGGACTCTGACCTACAAAAACTATTAGGTAATAAATGTGTGTTGTTTTAAACCACTAAGTGTGTGGTAATGTGTTACACAGTTCAGAGCATTAATACTTAGGTCATCTGACTCATGGTCATATATATGAAAATCCTAAACAAAAGATTAACATATAGAATCCAGCAATTCTTGAAAACCTACATCGTAAACAAGAGAGGTTTATCCGAGGAATTGAAGACTGGTTTAATATATGGCCATCATCAGTAATTAAGAATAAAGAAGAAAAAATCTCATGGTTATCTCAAAAGACAGAAAAACCTGATCACACTTGAGATCCACTCATGATTACAACTCTCAAAAAACAAAACTGTCTTTAGCAAGCTTTCTACTTGGTGGTGAATTATTCAAAACATTTCCTCTTCTTCCAGGAATGTGCCAAGGATACCTACCACCCCCACTCCTATTCATTTTTTTTCTGAAGATGCTAGCTGGTTCAAAAGGGAAGAAATAATTCACACGGATTGGAAAGGAAAAATAAGACTGATATTTTTGTAGCTGATTTAAATGTGTTTGTAGAAAATTTAAAAACTATATAAAAATTAGACAAGTTTAGGAAGTTTTCTAGACACAAGATAAATACATGAATTGTGTTTTTACCTACTAGTATCAAACCTAAAATGAAATTTTAACAAGTTTCCATTGATTAGGAGAAACTGAAGGCCTTGGGAGAACTTCACTGACAGAAGGAGCAGGATGAGTCTGGCCGGGCGTGGCTCAGCAGTTCGATTCCCAGTCGGCACATGCCCCGGTTGGGGCTCTATCCCCTCGGGCGTGCAGGAGGCAGCCAATCAATAGTGACTCTCTCATCATTGATGTTTCTCTCTCTCTCCCCCCCTTTCCCTTCCTCGCNCCGGTTGGGGCTCTATCCCCTCGGGCGTGCAGGAGGCAGCCAATCAATAGTGACTCTCTCATCATTGATGTTTCTCTCTCTCTCCCCCCCTTTCCCTTCCTCGCAAAAAAAAAAGGCAGGATGATAGGATTCAAGTCCTGCAGAACCACCCCTGAGGTGACTCCAAAAAACACCTTTGTAAACAGCTGCAAGAGTCAGCACCTCTAGTTGCCAGGACCCCTTGTCCAGGTGTCAAAGAATGACTGTTCTTAATGTCTGTGTAGCCTGAGCATACATGTGTGTTTTAAAACCATTTGGACATAAATGGAGTGCACACTATGGGCAAACTCTCCAGCACCTTGATTTTTGGACTTACCAGTAATGTAGTCAGAGGTAAATCCATATTAACAAGTATGTCAACTACATTCTTGTTTTTTTAAGTTTTTTGTTTGAGATCATTTCAAACTGACCGAATAGTACAAAGAGCTCCAATATACCTTCACCCAGGTTCACCAATTGCTAGCGTGGCTGTATTTGCTTCATACTTGTGTATCACTCCCCATTCCCTCCTTTCCTTAGGTGTGTCTGTGTCTGTCTGTGAGGATCCTGAACCATTTGAGGGCAGGCTGCATATATCATGACTCTAAATCCATCAGTGTGAATTTCCTAAGAACAAGGACATTCTCTTTCTTAAACAGTACAATTTTATAAAATTTATAAGATTCACTATTGGTATAAAACTATTCATATGTAATCCATATTCAGATTTCATCAATTGTATCAATAATGTCCTTTTATAGTATATTTTTTCCTGATCCAGAATCCCATCCAGGATTGGGTATTTGTCTTGTTTCTCTAGTTCTGTTTGATCTGGAATAGTTATCAGCCTTCTTTATCTTTCCTGACACTGATATTTTTGAAGTCTTTTTTTTATTACCTCCTTCATTTTACTTGCTTCAGAGTTGAGAAAAGACAAATTGGATTGGCCTTAAAGCCAATTTCTTTATCTACTCCCTACAGCAAGGATTTTTAACCAGTGTGCCACAAGAATTTTTTTTTTTTTTAATGTATCTTTATTGATTTCAGGNTCTTTATCTACTCCCTACAGCAAGGATTTTTAACCAGTGTGCCACAAGAATTTTTTTTTTTTTTTAAATGTATCTTTATTGATTTCAGGGAGAGGAAAAGAGGGGGAGAGAGAGAGATAGAAACATCAATGATGAGAGTCATTGATTGAGCCCGCAACCTGGGGCATGTGTCCCGACCGGGAATCGAACCCCTATCGCCTGGATCCTAGGCTGATGCTCAACCGCTGAGCCATGCCCAGCCGGGCCACAAGAATTTTTAAAACATGCAATACCTGACTATTTTAGTCAGGGGCACTGACCTCTTTTCCCTTAGACTGTCAAATAAAAAAATGATAACAGCCAACAATAGTCATTCAGTGGGAAGGATCAAAATTATACCTATTCTTTTGTCAGATCGGCAAAAAATATATTATTTAATGTGTCGCAGAATTTTAGTAATTAGTGTGTGTGCCATGAGATGACAAAGGTTGAAAATTGCTGCCGTACAGGTTCTGAGTTAGTGGGAAGGAAGAACAGGGTGGAATCAGTTATGGAGCTTCGGAGGCTCCCTGTTCTAACAAGACCACTTCCTCGCCCAGGCTGCTTTCGTGCCACAGGGCTGCATACGTCCTCTGACCCCTTGCCACCTGCACAGAGCATTGGAGCGGGCGTGGGGGGTCCCTCTCTACTGAAGCGCTTTCTTGAGCAGTTCTCTATGAAGAAACTGAGCACTCAGGAGATCGTTGTGTACTCTGCTGTTTTTCAGCTTATAAATTCTATTATGATAAACCCTTTATATTTTCCCTTTGTGGCACTCATGGGATTATGTGTGTGTGTGCGCGCGTGTGTTTGCACAGCCCCTCTGCACTATAATTGATGACCCAATCTATCCCAATGCTATTCATTTTGGGAAGCAGCAAAATCCAACTGCCTCCCTCCCCAGGGCAAGAAACAGTCCCTCCCGGTGGAGTGTGAGTCATGGGGAGGGTGGATGAATGGCCCTAGCGGGCAGCGCCACCATGGTGCCCACAACTCAGTGAGGGTAAATCTTCTCTGTGCGTATAATTTAATAAAAATACACAGGAGAAACTGAGTGATAGAGGAAGAGATGTTATATATTTAGTTCATTCTTTGAAACCTAATCTGCTAAAAGTTTTTAAGCAACTAAGTACCAGTATCTCATGGCAACGTACTAGAATACTGAAGATGAATGTAAAGGATTATGATGCGTAGAAAATCCAAGTTGGAATGTACCTGAAGTACAGATAAAAATCAGTTTGCAGCTACTGAAAGGTGGGGGAGGAACCTATAGATTGTTTATTACAGACAAAAAGAGCCAGGGTAGCAAGCTCGGAGAAATGAAGTTGAAAGGATTAGGTGTGGCTCCTGAATGGAAGTGAGAAGTCCAAGGTGGTTTCACTAAAATGACTTCACAGCGGCCCTATTCCACAGATGACTTCGGCATATACTATGTCCTGTGAGCCTCTGTCTACTACAGCTTTCTAGATTAGCTGAATGGGGGTGGGCGGGAAGGGGGAGGCCATGCTGA